ATTGAGTCCCGAAGCTTCTTACTGGAATAGAAAGTTTTGGTTAGTAATCACCTGAATAACACTTTCAGAACTGTAAGATTAATATGTAGACGTGGAAAAAGATGCTTCAGAAAAAAAAAACTGTAGTCAGTTAATGAGATGGAAAGTGAATGTCCCAAAATCAAAACGTTTGTGACATACTTACCCACAGGAATATCCTCGAGACCAGCTCCTTCTTGGCTAATGATGTTTGCTTTAGATTGTGCCTTTAGCCTGAGATGATGGCTAGCTTGTTTTCTATCCTGACTAACTTTATTGAAGATCAGTTCTCAACCCTGTAGAATACGATAAGTGATAGTCTCTGGGTGGAGAAACTTTTCAGTGTTGCGTTTAAGTAGAGCCCCAAATTGGAGATGCTTTCTTTATTGTTTTCCTAGGGGATCTCTTACCCACATACCTTCTCTGAATTTAGCCCTCAAGTGACAATGAAGTCTTATCAGCAGTAGATTCAAATAATGTTAGTAAAATGTATTAAAGAGTGTTATTTTTTAAAATTTTATTTAAACTTCTTTCTGTGATTCAGAGAAACAACTGGGTCTTGGGATTCTGAAAATAAACAGTTTGTGAAACCACATTCTGTGCAAGTGATTGAAAAATAATAGAATGATAATCTAATAATTATTAAAGAATTATATATGCATGAAACACAATTTAATTAAACACAACACATTAGCTATATTTTTAACGATTATTGAATATTTTCTTCATGAGTCTCCTGCAATATTATTGATTACGGATTATGCATCTTTGACCTCATATGGGCTGGTCAGAGCCTTGCAGTCCAGTGGTAGCTTGAAAATGTGTGAAGGGAGATGTTTGATGGTCATGGGTCCCTGATACCATACTGTGTTGATAAGAATTTCTGTGAGTCCTAACAGGAGTTTAGAAAGAGGTGAGAGGACAGGATACCAGGTCATAGGTACCTGACCCCACACTGTTTCTATTGGACTCCTTGTCAAGTCTTGGAAGAAGCCAAGAGACAGGGTCCTGGGTCACATAGATCATGGGTGTCTGACCTCACACAGGATTAGTTGGAGGTCCCTCAGGTTTCAGTGGAAACTTGGCAGCAGGCAAGGAGATAGGGAAAAAGTTGCAGATTTTTTTTTTAACCTCATTCTGGATTAATCAGAGTTCCCACAGGTTTCAGTAGCCTCCTCAGGTAGGTGTGTGCATAGGAAAACATAGAGAAAGGATAGGGATCTGGGTTGCTTGCCTCTGACCTCACACTGGCTCAATCAGTGTTTTTGTGGATTCTAAGGAGTCTGGAGATAATGAGGGGATAAAGGAATGGGCTATGTAGTTCTGACGTCACTCTGGGTCATTCTTAGTTCTGGTAGGTACTGACAATGGTCTGTAGATGAGCAAGGTGATAGGAAGCTGGTACACCTATCTTTGACTTCACATGTGATCATTCAGAATTCCTGCCAGTTCCAATTGAGGTATGGAGACAGTGAGGAGATAGGGCAGTGGGTAGCTTATTTCTGACTTTACACTTGGTCAGACAAAATTTCCCTGGCTCCTGGAAGGTCTCTAGAGTTCATTACTGATAAAGTACAAAGTAATGAGCTTTTGAATATGTGGACTTTGGATTCTTTAACTGCTGTATAGATTACATTCCAGGAATTTGATACACTTCTTAACTATATCACTCTGAAAATATTTTAAGATTGCTTTTATGTATTACTCTCTTTTCTTTAGATTTTCTAATCTGAACATCCATTTTCCAGTATTTAGAACCAATCAATTTAACCATTCTGCTGATGTTCAAATTAATTCCACACTTGTCTGGGAGCATTACTCTATGATTTCAAACTCTTATTATGACTATAACAAGTGTTTTTGCTTAATATTCTATGTTGTTACAAATCAATGATATTGTGCTGTTGTTACACATGCATGATTTTATTTTAATATGCATAAAATTAAGTTAGTTAATCATATTGCTTAATAACAGAAATATTATTGATATTTTAACATTGCTTATTTGTTACTTAGAGCAATATGATAAAAATATTATTTCCACAGATTGTTTTAACCTTCTTTTCACATCTCTTCCTCACTTCTCTAGTGGCCCTTTCTAGTTTTGGGTCATAAACACACACACACACACACACACACACACACACACATACACCCTCACTCCCATACGTTGTGTATGTATAAATTAATATTTAACTTCTACCAGAAGGAGAATTTAAGCAGGAGAGGGACAGAGGATGGAAGACAGATACTGGTGGTAAAAAGAACCTAAATTCATTATATGCATGTATGAAGCTGTCAAAAAATAAAAAAATGGAAAATAATAAAGCATATAGGACATGCACAGATCAAAAGAAAAATAATACTTAAATAAACATAGAAATGTAAAAAAAATCACTGTAGTTGACACCACTAAAAACACAGGACAAGAGAAGACTAAAATGGATAATCACATGCCCATAAATTAGATAATCTTGAGTAAATGAATAAGGTCCTATTCAATGTAATTGTTTTATCAACTTTATTATTATGCATATGAAATTATGAAATGACATTTATTCTATTAAATATACTACATTTATTTCAAAACTTATATTCTAATAACTGAGTAAATTTATCAAAATAATTTATAGATCACTGTATGAAAGAATGTCAAACAATCCCAAATCAACTTAGAAAATGATCTTGCTTCACTTGCCAAAATACTTATGATGAGAACCAGCCCTTATCTTTAGATAAGAATATTTTTCCTTAGACAGAGTAGGAGAAGTAAATTTTTAACAGAAACTTTGCAGTTATACACTACTGTTAGGAATTTGTAATTTTATTTTATTTTTTTATAGATAATAAAAATATAGTCAATATAGACATGTACCATAAAATCTTAAAATATATAACATTACACATAAATAAATGGTTATTGTTTGTTAAGTTGGAATAAACTAAATAATATTTTACAAATTCTGGATGAAGAATAATAAATTGTCTATATTATCAGGGAATATCTAACAGTTATACATACACCAGAGCACTCAGAAGGCACCACAGTGCTGAGATAGAGCAAGTCACTGTTCTCAGACTGAGGAGATGAGTAATCAGTCTCCTCATTGCCCCCTTCATGTCTTTGTTCCTCAGTGTGTAAATGGCAGGGTTCAGGATGGGGGTAATCATGAAGTCCAGAATAGCAAGAAACTTATCCACAGATACAGTGGGAAATGGCCACATATAAACAAAGATGCATGGTCCGAAGAATAAAACCACCACAGAGATGTGAGCTGAAAGTGTAGAGAGGGCCTTGGACAGACTGCCTGAAGATCGTTTCCATACAGTGATCAAGATGAAGATATAGGAGACAATCAGTAAGAAGAAGGTGCCTGTGGAAATAAAGCCACTGTTGCCAGTAACCATGAACTGCATTCTGTAGGTGTCTATGCAGGCCAGTTTGATAAGCTGAGGAAGATCACAGTAAAAGCTATCTATCTCATTAGGTCCACAAAAAGGTAAATTGAAAACAAAAGCTAATTGGACCACTGAGTGAAGAAGTCCAATAACCCAAGCACCAGACACAAGCAAAATGCACATCCTTGGGCTCATGATGGTCAGGTAGTGGAGAGGCTTGCATATGGCTACATATCTGTCCCAGGCCATGGATACCAGCAGCACCATCTCAGATCCACCCAGGACATGAAGGATAAATATCTGGAAGACACAGCCTTGGAAGGAAATGGTACTGTGCCCAGAGTAGAGGTCAGAAATCATCTTGGGGACCGTTAAGGTAGAAAGACATAAATCAAAGAATGAGAGGTTTCCTAAGAGGAAGTACATGGGGGAATGTAAATGGGGATCACAGACTACTGCAAACACAACTAGACTGTTTCCCAGAGCAATGGTTATGTAAAACACTGTAGCGAAGGCAAGGAAGAAATGCTGAGTGGGTCTAGATGCAGAAAGTCCCAGAAACACAAACTGAGACACTTCAGTGTAATTTGTTTCATACATTGACTTTTTCTGCTATTACCTATGCGACTGAAAACAAAGCAATCACAGACAGAATTTGTTAGAGATAAATACAGAATAAAACAAATTTAATATTTTCCAATTCTGAATTAAAGTAAAATCAACTCTATTATAGATACAATTTTGAAAATTTCTAAATTCATTTATCTGTACAACTAGCATTCCTTAGTTATCTACCATATACTAAGGACTAGGTCAAATTTGTAGGTGAAAAGTAGATATTGATTCCACATATGAACTATGATAATTCATTTTTATCAAAAGAAGAGAGCAGTACAAGTAACAAGGGTTACTACTGAAGATAATGTGGCTTATTACAGACTTTAGCACTTATCAATGCAAGAATCTGAAGCAAGTAGGCTGAGTCTGGTAGATGAGTGCTGGAGATCAGACAGACCAGCCTTAGAATCTTGTATCCACTGACAGGAATTTCACCTTTTCTGTAAGCAGTAAGTAGACAGTGAAGTGCAATATGCAATAGCTTGACCATATTACTACTTTTAAATGGTCAAATACAATAACAGAAGTGAAGGGCTGAGTAGATAGAACTCGGTGATACACCAGAACACAGCTGAAGAACTAGACCACATTAAGGGAGCAGGATGAATTATTCAAACACTGCCGTAACAAAAATTATAAAAGTATGTATTTGCTTTTCATCATAAATTGAAGTTACTTCAAATGATCATTTAAATATTAAAAACAAAAATATGACTGGGGAGATGGCTGGGTGTGTAAGGTGCTTGCTGTTCAAATTTCCTGCATCTGCTTAAGAAGTCAGGTATGCTGTGCACATTGCTCAATCCAGTGATAGGAGGGTAGAGAGAAGCAGATCCCAGGGGCGTCTGGGCCAGCCAGTTTATCTGAAACAGAAAACTCTAAGTTCAGTGAGACAGCCTGTCTTAAAATATTAGGCGGAGAGCAATAAAGATACTGAACATCAATATCTGGCCTCTGCCTGTGCATGCAAGAATGAGCATACCTGTATACACATGTGCACCCACATAAAATAAGTAGACAAATAAATCCCCCCCCAAAATATCAGATAAACGAATCCAGAAATAACCAAAAGGAAATAAAATTGTGATAAATATCACTGTGTAAAATTAATTTTTGGCAAATACCCATATTCACAAATTTTCATGAAAATTTAAGAATATTGAAATGAAAATTACATTAGATAAAAACAGATTTGTATGTATATAATATGTATAGATATAAATATACATGTTTCATGGAAATACAAGCATAATAAGTCTGAAAAACAAGAGCAAACTGCTGATTTAAAGGGAGGTGAGTGGAGGAAGAGTATCCATAGAAATTAAGTATTAAGGAGGATACCATGATGAAATTCATTACTTTGTATATTAATATAAAAATAATCAAAACGTGCTTAAGTCACTATGGATTGTTAGGAGAAGATAGATATTAGGATAGGCTGATAATGAAGCCAATATCTCCTGAAGGCATATTCAACGTAGATATAAAAGGCACACACATTTCGTTACTTTTTAATAAAATTTAACTCAATAATTTGCTTAAAGTTTTAAAATGCATTATCTAAGAATTAAGCTACAGGGGCACTTATAGCATCATTTGTTCAGGAAAAAATTTAGAAATGGGGCTGGAGAGATGGCTCAGCGGTTAAAAGTGCTGCTCTTGCAGAGGACCCGGGTTTGAGTCCCAGCACCTACATGGCGGCTACGAACTGTCCTTAACTCGAATTCCAGGGGAACCCGAAGCCCTCTTCTGACTACTGTGGCATTGCATGACACAGATGCAGGTAATACACTCATACACATAAAAGAAAAATAATAAATAAAAAGAATTAGAACTAACACAATGGCCATCACAGAAAATTAAAATATACAATGCAGTTCCTATTGGGGGTGTGCCTTTCTAACTGCAGAAGCAAAAATCAGTCTATGGAAAGATATTAAATGTTTTTGAAGAGTATGACGGTTACATGATAAAATCTATAGGAAACAGATTTTTTTTTTAATGTGTAAGAAAGGGAGGTGAGGGCAGGGCCAGGCTCAGAAGAAGTGTCCCTGGGGACCTGAGAAGGAGCTGAGTTGCTCTGGATGCAAAGGATCAGGAAGAAGCAGTGGTGGTTCCCCCAGGTGTCTGGGGCACCAAGACAAGGAATGGGACAGGACCCAGGCTAGGAGGAGAGACCTGCGCGGGAGGTGGGAGGGTGAGTGAGGCTGGGGGAGTCAAGGCATGGAGGGCCCAATCAACTTACCGTGGAGAGAGAAGCCTGCAGGTCAGAGAGAGGCCTTCAGGTCCTGCAGGCCCAGGGAAGCAGAGGGAGGATAGGGCGGGGCCAGGCCCAGAAGCAGTGCTCCTGGGGACCTGAGAAGGAACTAGGTTGCTCTGGATGCAAAGGATCAGGAAGCAGTGGTGGTTCTCCAGGTGTCTGGGTTGGCCAGACAAGGAATGGGACAGGACCCAGGCTAGGAGGAGAGACCAGTGGGGGAGATGGGAGGGCTCCTCCAAAGCCCATGTGACCCCTGAGGAATAGATCCTCAAACTACCTTAAGAGTAAAAATAAATTGGTTTATCTGGGCCAACTCTATGGCCTTAAACATCCAAACGGAAAGTATAACCAAAGATTAAAGGGGTCAGTATAACTTCTTGAGTCCATATGCATAGCTAAAGGCTACATAACAAGCAACAATGCCAGACAGACGATACCTTCTTTTGAGTTGTTGGCCAGGGTGACCAAAGGGACTCCCAAATAGTAACCCAGCATAGAGCTGGGAAAATGAACAGCAGACCCTAATCTATCTAAAAGAGTATTGACAACTGATTGCTGCTAGAAGAGGAACAGCTGACCTTCCTAAAACAAAGGCCTCTAGATAGGCTGACTAGATTCACCAGAAGGGCATGGGGGTGCCAACAACACAGCAGACAGTAGCAGGGATATCAGAATATAAGGACTCTAGTGGGGCTATGGGAGGGTGCCATCTGGGAAGTGGGTGTATAGTCAAATAACATGGTTTGGGATGTTCTGTGTGATATACACACACAAAAAAAATCAAAAAAATTTTTAAAAATGTATTATATTTGAGGAAAAATTATTATACTTGAGGAGGAAGCATGGAAATTTAGGTCATGCTAATTAGTAGAGGTGATAAACATTACCAATGAAATCTACCCAATGACTTTATAGACATACATAGGTGCCAAGGATCCAAGTGCAACCAATTATGACTAGTAATAATCAGATACATACAGATTAGAAATGCATGCGCCAACATCTCAGTGTTAGTAGCAAAAACAATGAGTCTCTGAAGGGAACAATATATTGTAAAATGAAATGGAGATCTTTTTAAAGGTTAAAAAATTCATTCAATTTTATGTCTTACAGGGCTTATACTGAGTTCAATATTGTATAACTGTATTAACTCAACTGTGAACCTAGAAACTTGCACCCACTTGTGAAACAGATGTGCTCTTGATCTGGAATGTGTTACTGAATATGTTAAATCTGTAGTGAAATGTTTCTTCTAATCATGTGGTTATTAAAATTTTTTTTAAATGATTAAAAATATAATAATTAGTAGATGTGAGAAACATTACCATTGAAATCTACCTGATGACTTTATATCCATGCTCAGATGCCAAGGAGCTCAGAAAGTAACAGACTGTGACTACCAAT